TCTCAAGATAAAAGTATTAATGAATATGAATATTAAATAATATTTAATAGGACCGAGGAGATAGCACATTATTCCCATATCTCTGATGCACACTCCAGCACCTTTAATGAGCTTTGAAAGGTTCTGTTACACAGATCCCATGGGAAAGACATACATTTCAGTCTGCTAATCTCAGAAAAATCCAAGCATGTGTCAAAAGGGCAGAGATTTTTACTAGACTAATGGCTTGCTTTGGAGGAAAAAGGAACTGAACAAACACTAGATGAGCAGTCCCACTTTTTGATGCTTAAAGCATTGACAATTGGTGGTTCATGGTGGTTTGATGTGTGTTGCTTCATGTTGGCTTCCCTAGTGCAGGAGCCTGTGAATCAGGCTATTGGATATAAGAAGTGGAGGATAGCACTGCATTGGACACAGACATGGTTTCATCCAGCTGTGCCTGCTCTCTTTTTAATTATATTTTACTTTCTCCACAGTTCTGCAGTCCTGTGAAGTGATTTTTTTAAACTTTCCTTAGCTGGGAACAATGAGGTCCAGGGTCACTTCTGTCATTTGTAGGGAAAATTACTTCTGTCACCCTGGAAGGTATTAAATAGAGGAATTGAAAGAATGCATCCTCCATGGTGGAGAAAAGTGTAAAGAAACATGGTAATGCTCTAGTTCAGCTTTATTTAGTGCATTGGTGATTTAGTCACTGAAGGATAGAGAACAAACTAGAACATTATAAATATTATAGCAAGTTGATCAAAAGAATCATGGAAATAGGCTGAAATATATTTATATTAATGGCATGTGCCCTAGTTTGGGGAAACCACAGAGAATGTCTGAGGCGATGATGTCTTAATCAGAGGAGTGAAGTAATAAATAAAATAAAGGTTTCATTCCTCCTTTGATGTTGATGTACAGTATTGAGGGGATGACAAGTGACAGTGTGGTGAGGCCAAAGGGATGCCCAGCACTGTCACAGCAATAGGGAACCCCAATGCCTGGAAATGGGCACTGAAGTCCAAGCATGTGGATTGTCCAACTGCCAGGTGGTCACAAAAGCAGTGGTGACCCATGTTTTTGTGTCTGTGAGCTAGTGAAAGGTCAGTGGATAGTTCTTGGAGCAACTTACTCCAGTGGACAGTGTTCCTGTCCCTGGCAGTGGGGTGGAATTGGATGATTTTAAACCTCTCTCCCAAACCAAATCATTCTGTGACTCAGTGATGATTCCATAAAACAGGCTGATATTCAAGATATTTCCCTAAGGAAATCTGCAGAGATTCTCTGAGGAAAACCCTTATTGGACCAAGACTTGTAGAGCTGAGCACTTTGCAAGATACAGCTTAGCCCCTCTTGTCTCTATCTCATAATTAAGATGCTTTGGATTCTCTGTTGGAGACGTGGAATTTGTCTGTAGATAGTATGTTCTTCAGCTTTGGGCACAAAAGTCAAGGATTTGACCCACCTTGCTTTGGGTGTTCTCCATTCAGGAGAACACCCAATGCCCATATGGACTGGTCATTTGGGATCTTTTTCTGGTCTGTGGGGAAAAGGCAGATTTGGGGCAATGCAGGTCCTTTTCCCCACTCTGCACAGAGAAGTTGAGCCATGTTATGGAAATGCCCACTTCTCTAAGGGAATTCAGGGAATTGGCTCAGCAGCAGTCCATCAGCCTTCTTTTCCTGCTAGATTACAGTCTTTGCTACCCAAAGTCCTCCTCACTGTTTTTCATACTCAAGCTGCTGCTGGTTGGATACTCGCAGCATTTTCCATGGCCATTGCAGTCGTGTTCTGCTGTTGTTGCTGAATTTCAGAGAAAAATGTAGAATTTCTTTTGATTTCCATGTTGTTTCCTGGTACATAAAATACTAATGATAATAATTTTTACTGTAATTCTTTTGGCTGATGGAGGCCATCATCATCACCTTTACCATAGTAAGAAAAGTTTCATGACATAGTAACAAAAAGGTAGGAATGAACTAGTGACTTCAGCTGAGATGGAGGGGGACACACCCTGGCAGTTTACAGCCCTTACACATCTTTATTTTACATAATGTAGCTCTACAGTTGTATTATTTATATAAATTTATGATGCTTTTTGGATTTATCCAGGAAAGTTAAGACAGTGTGTGCAACTCTTTCCCATTTATTTTGCATTTAAAATTCTCGAGGTACAAAGATTTTTCTTCCTTCTCAACAGAAATACTTTCTTTGTTGCTCATAAAGATTTAATGCAGAAAGGACTGTTCTCCCAAAACCTATGGAATGTGCTTATTTGCTGCAGAAAAAAAATTGCAGCATGTTACAGCATTTTGGAAACTTCCATCAACTTTGATTCAAGCCACAAAAGAGATGCTGCCCTTTCATGGGCACAAATTCCTTGGGAGTTTTTCTATTTTCTCTAACAGTGTGCAAATCATAACTAAGACGATGTTTGTAAGCAAAAAATACCCTTGTGTTTGTTAGGTTTAAGCTAAAAAAAAAAAAAGAGAAATCAGGCTTAATTAAGGTTTTATGTTATTCCTTAGTTTCCTTATCCCAGTTTAAGAGAGGGGAAATAAAACTCACTTGGAAATGTTTTGTGCATGGCCATGAGTAGTTTAGAGTAATGGCTGATCTCATACGACTTCCGAACTTTATTAAATCTCTGGTAATTTTCCAATAGTTTTACCTTTCACCTGGAAACTCATCTCCATAACCATATAGGAGGGATCCATTTAATACTACAAATGAATAGATTTTCTGCCACTCCAAGATTTAAATGCAATTGAGATTTTGTTTACTCTCTACCTCTCACCTCATCTAACCTTCTCCACTTCTCATCCATTTTTTTCTAAACTGGTAAGCTTTGAGGATGTAATTTATACAAAAAATTCTGTGCTATTAAAGAACCCAAGATAGTTTACTGTACCAAAATAAAATTCCCAGCATGTGAAGTCCTTAAAATTAGCATTGATTTGAAGTTGTTTTCAGACATATTAGATTAAATTCTCATCCCTTGGAGCCTGTTAACAGGGATTACAATCATATTTTTCCATCCTGGTCCCCAGCAGAAAAAGAAGTAAATCAAAATGAAACACTTAATCAGTCTGAAAAATATTTTCCTATTAACTGAATAGTTACAGCAATAACTCACTTGTACTTTGGAGTTAACATAGTTTTCCCCTTCTTTAGTGTTATCCTTAGTGGGAAGTGCATAGCTCCTGCCATAAATCAATGGGCACAGCTCCTGCTGGTGCTGATCTCGTTTCAGCATGCTGCCTTGCCCTCCAGAGATGCTCTCCAGGAGGTTTTCTTGGCTTGAGCCCACACATTTATTTAACCCACATGTTATTTTCCCAAAGGAGCATCTCAACAGTTTTGAATCCCCCTCCCAGCAGATGGAGATGGCACAACCATATCCTCTGGAGCAGCAGGAAAAGGAATTTCCACTATCCAGCATTTGTCATGTAGTGGAAGTGGGATGTTGTGTCAAGGCCAATGGGAAACTCTGAAGGAAGATTGATTTTCTCCCAGCTGATATATTTGATGTAAACCTCACAGTGGGAAGCCATTACCCTTTCTCCTGTAACTCCAAGCCCTTGACCAAAATCCCTCTCCAGCTCTCTTGGAGCTCCTTTAGGCACTGGTAGGGGCTGTAAGGTCTCCTGAAACCTTCTCTTCTGCAGGCTGAACACCTCCAGCTCTACCAACCTGTCTCAGGAGCAGAGGTGCTCCAGCCCTCAGAATATTTTTGTGACCTCCTCTTGCCCTGATCCAACAGGTCCATGTTCTTCTGATGTTGTGGCCACGTGGGGATCAGTCTTTTCTCCCAAGTAACAAGCAACAGGACAAGAGCAAAGAGCCACAAGTTGTGCCAAGGCTTGGGTTAGATATTGGGGAAAATTTTTCCTTGGAAAGGGCTTTTCAGCACTTGCACAGTCTACCCAGAGTCCTGGTGGAGTCCCCATCCCTGGACAGATCTAAAAGCCACATGAATGAGGTATTTGGGGACATGGGTTGGTGGCAGTGCTGGGGGAACAGTTGGATTTGATTACCTCAGAGGGCTTTTTCAACCCAAATAACTCAGTGGTTTTATATCCTATGATTGTCAGAGCAATTTCCCACTTGAATTTCTGATTGCATACAAGTGGAGATGGTGCTTCTCATGGTGGACTCCCTGGACACTCATATTAAAAATCTTTCCTGTAAACATTTGGGAGAAGTTGTAGTTGATTTGAAATACTAATTCTTACCCTTGGGAGGCAATACCAGTAAAAACAGTGCAAATTGGTCTCTCAGTGACTAGGAGATCTTTGGAGTTTTAGGAATGCTTTTTATAATAATTAATATCCAGGGACAAACACAATCAAGGCTTGCACAGCTAGGACTGTGTTGGAGTCCAGAGCATCCCTCTGGCTGCCCTGGATGACTCGAGCCCCTGGCAAAGAGCCCAGGAACCTTGGCAGCAAATGAAAAACACCCGTGGATTCGATTTTAGCCCATGGGAGAGGCTGCTGACCTTATATGAGGATTTACAAGCAAAAAGGGTTTGAATAGTGTAATGGAGAAATTGAAACAGGGTGGAAAAGTAGAATTTTGGGATTTTTTAGAAAGAAATTCAGGGGTACAAGATGGAGGAATCTGGGCATGCCCAGCTTCTTCTTCCTTCTTCTTGTCCTTCATGTCTTGGTGACACTTTTCTATTGGTTTAGGACAGGGACACCTTGTCCAACGTAGATTTTAGGTATTGGTACGGGAATTGTAAGCATGGTACACGTAATTTTGGGTATATAATGTGGGAGCTGCCTGGGCGGGAAGGAGACTGCCATGGCTGCTGTGCTGGCTGGACCTCAGCAGCTCAGAGAGAAACTATTATAGATAAGAAAAAATAAACAACCTTGAAAACTCGGCTTCACACATTCCAGACCTCTTCTTCAGCGGCCAGGCCAGGGAAAAAAGGACTTTCACACTGCTGGGGTCTTGCCAAGTGACCCTGACGGTTCTGGCATCCCTGGCTGGGCACGAGCTGACCAGAAGTGCTGAACACCAGAGCCCAGCCCGAGAAGAAAACTCCCTGGAGAGGACAGCCTGACCCCTGCAGAGAGCAAGCTTCTTCAAACTCTGCCTGGAAAGGAGAAGATCCAAAGGGCCCTGGGGGTTCTCCACCTGTTTCTGCTGGCCAGAGACCAGGACAGCTTCCGGACCGATTCTGCAGACGCCGCCACTACTGGTGAGACCCGTCAAAATTAAGAACATGGCCTGTTCCCAAGAGCAGCTTAATATCTTAACCACTCTAAGGAATGTGGTGGCCACTTATCCCGTGACCTTAGCCGACAGGGAATCAAAGATCTTTTGCAATGGGTCCGTTATAATTACCCACACACTGCGACCCATGTGATTTTTGAGCCAGAGCCCCCCACACCTCCTTTCCCAGGGATACGGGTGGGGAGGCCGGGGGGAGAGCCAAAGGCAAACGGCGCTGGGAAGGGCAGAGCAGCCCCGCAGGGACCGGGGCAGCCCGGGAACAGCCCCGGGCCGGAGGGGAGACCTCGGGGGTCGGCGGAGCGGCGTCTGTGCCGATGGGCGCGGGGGACGAGCGGGGGAAACCTGCGCGGGGGATGGTGCGGGGCAAGCACCGGCCATGGCCCGGGGCGGTGGCAACACCGGGAATAGCCCGGGGCGATGGCAACACCGAGCCCTGAGGGAGCTCCGAGTCCTGCGGGAGCTCCGAGTCCTGTTGGAGCTCCGAGCCCCGCGGTAGCTCCGAGCCCTGCGGGAGCTCCGAGCCCTGCTGGAGCTCCGAATCCTGCGGGAGCTCCGAGTCCTACTGGAGCTCCGAGCCCCGCGGGAACTCCGAGCCCCGCGGGAGCTCCGAGTCCCGCGGGAGCTCCGAGTCCTGCGGGAGCTCCGAGCCCCGCGGGAGCTCCGAGTCCCGCGGGAGCTCCGAGTCCTGTTGGAGCTCCGAGCCCTGCGGGGCGGTGGATGCAGGAGCTCCGAGTCCCGCGGGAGCTCCGAGCCCTGGGGGAGCACCGAGCCCTGCGGGAGCTCCGAGCCCCGCAGGAGCTCCGAGCCCCGCGGGAGCTCCGAGCCCCGCGGGAGCTCCGAGCCCTGCGGGGCGCGGGACGCGCGGACACGGCCGCGGCCGCGGCACCGGCAGCGGAGCGTGGGCGCGCGTTGATGGCGTCAGACCGGGAAAAGGATGCGGGGAAAATCCTGTCTTGTCTCGTTGATGCACTGGAAGCCCCGACGGGGCCACGGGACCGGTGCGGGGGGGGGGTCAGCTCTGGGGAGGAGGAAGGCGGGGCGGACCCAGAAGGGGATGGAGGTCCCGTGAGCTCCAAGAAGGGGAGGAGGAAGGCGTTCCCGAGGGCGCGGTCACGCCGGAGCGGGCAGGGGCGGGGCGTGGGCGCGGTGGGGGCGCTCCTTTCCGCACCCCGGGGATGCCGCGGGCAAAGCCGAGGCAGCAACGGGCGGGCAACAGCGCCGCTGGGTGGTCAGAGTGCGGTACTGCAACCGCGCCGCGCGGTGGCGGTGATTCGGAAATCAACAACCTGCAGGATTTGCGACAGTTTCTAGGAGAAATCAACTGGATGAGGCAAATTTTGGGAAGCACAAATGATGATCTTGAATCGCTGTTCAAACTTTTAAGAGGAGACAACAATATTAAATCTCCCAGGACTCTCACACCAGAAGCACAGAAAACCCTTGAAAGGATTGCAGACATCACTCACCAAAAACAAGCACACCATTTTGTGACCTCACTGACTTTTTATCTAGCAGTGTTGGGGAAAAAATACAGTTGTATAGCTTGATTTTTCAGTGGGACTCATTTCAAAGAGACCCTCTCTTAATCATAGAGTGGATTTTTTTAATCTTACAGATCACCAAAAACAATTCTCACTGACCTGGAGATGACAGCTTAAATTATTATAAAGGCAAGGACACGGTTGCTGACAATGGCAGGCAAAGACTTCTCAACAATCTATCTACCCATGAAAAAACAATATTTTGATTGGGCATCACAGAAATCAAAAGATTTAGAAATTACATTATTAGAATACCCAGGTGTTTGTTCAGTTCACCTTCCAAAACATAGATTACTAAATGCCAAAATAAGTTTCAGGGAAAAGCCAAAAATAAGTGAGGAACCATTGGATGCAATAACTGTGTTTACCGATGGTTCAGGAAAAACTCACAAATCAGTCATCACATGGCAAAACTCAAATACAGGAGAATGGGAATCAAACATAAAAATTGTGCAAGGTTCACCACAAATTGTAGAATTGGCAGCAGTGACCAGAGCTTTTGAAATATTTCAGTAACCCTTCAATTTGATCACAGATTCATCTTACGTTGCGAATGTGGTCAAAAGACTGGAAGGTTCACTTTTGCGAGAGACAAACAATGAAATTTTATATTCATATTTACTATGCATGAAAACATTACTAGAAAACAGAAAACATAAATATTTTTTTGCCTACATCAGGGCACATTCCTCTCTTCTAGGGTTTTTGGCAGAAGGAAATGCTCATGCAGACAAACTAACTATGCCCATTTCACAGACTTTGCCAGACATTTTTTGAGCAAGCAAAATTGAGCCATGCATTTTTTTCATCAGAATGCATGAGCACTGATGGAATCCTTTCACATTTCCAAAAGTCAAGCAAAGGAAATCATTAGTGCTTGTCCAGACTGTCAGTTTGTGCTACCACCTGCATCTACGGGAGTTGTCAATCCAAGAGGATTGCAAAGCCTCCAGTTGTGGCAAACTGATGTCACGAAATACCCATCTTTTGGGAAGCTCAAAAATGTTCATGTTTCAGTTGATACTTTTTCAGGAGCAATTTTTGCATCGTTATATCCAGGAGAAACTGCACAACATGCCTGATGACATTTTTTACAAGCATTCACATCATTGGGAGTGCCTCAAGAAATAAAAACAGACAATGGTCCAACTTATATAGGAAAAGTGCTTGACAAGTTTTTGAAAAAATGGGGTGTCAGACACACTTTTGGTATTCCCCACTCTCCCACAGGTCAAGCAATAATTGAAAGAACACATCACACCCTGAAATCCCTTTTGGATAAACAAAAAAGGGGGGAGGCAGAGGCAACGCCTGACATGCGATTGAACAAGGCTTTGTATGTGCTCAATTTTCTAAACTGCTCTTTTCCAGAGCCCACTCCACCAATCATCAGGCATTTTTCAAACACTACACAGGCAAAACTAAGGGAAAATCCTTTAGTTCTGATCAAAAATCCAAAATTGGGGCAAATTGAAGGGTCTTTCAAATTACTAACTTGGGGCAACGGTTTTGCTTGTGTCTCCACAGGGCGAGGATCGAAATTTCGGCGAGATACGTGAAGCCCTATTGGACTCAGACACAAGCAGACACTGAGTCTGAGAACAAAGAGACACGCAGACGTGAGCAGACATCCACGAACATCTCTTCAATCAAGAATTCCAGGACTTGGGTGTCATTGCATTGCAAAGTCAAAATGTTGTTTTTGTGTTTCATTCTGCTGTCAATTGCCTTAGGCAATTCTATTGCCTTGGGTAATTTGGCAGATTTACCCATGAGTGAACAAAAAGAAAATATTTGGGAAACTTTGGCCAATGCAGCAGGTTTGGACACCATCTGCTTGACACATTCAAGACCGAACAAACCGTTTTCAGCATGTCTGGTGGGCTTGCCAGTGAGTGAATGGCCAATTCCAAAGAACATCCCTCCAAAGGTTTCGCAGGTCATTTCGAATCCTGTGGACGGATGGGAGGTTTGGACACAATTTCTCCCAGTGGCTCCTTTTGAACCTCAGGAACTGGAAATTCTTGGTTCAGTGACAATGAATTTTTGTATAGAATTTGGCATTTCAGGAGTGACGCAAACGAAGAACAAAATGATAGATGTCACCCCAAATAATTTCATTTATAGAGATGCCTCTTCTTGGTGTAATTACACCAAGGTGTCAAACAGACCATCCCACCAAGTCCCATTGCAATTGCCACAAGGAATCTTTTTCATTTGTGGGGACAGGATTTGGCCTGCTATCCCTGCAAATGCCACAGGCGGTCCGTGCAGCATTGGAAAACTTTCATTGCTAACACCCGATCTGACAATCTTGAGAGGGAAAAAGCATAGGGGGAAAAGAAATATTAAAAAATATGATCCAAAGTGTGATGATAATGTTTATACATGGAACAATGCCCAGAGAATTGGGGCTGCAATATTCTCGCCACAAACAGCATCAGGGGTACCCTTGACTCAATCGGACCCAACGGGGTGTTGGTTGAGCAAAGATGCTCGTGACGTTTCTCTTGCAGTGAGTGACATGTTAACAGATGCCCACAGTGTAAGAGGGTCAACTCTTCAAGACAGAGCAGCAATTGATTATTTATTGCTGACACATGGGCACGGGTGTGAAGAATTTGAAGGGATGTGCTGCATGAACTTGTCAGATCATTCAAAATCTATCCATGAACACATAAAGCAATTGCAAGACGGTATAGCCAAAATCAGAAAAGTTACTGGGTCTTGGTTGAATGATTTGTTTGATTCTTTGGACCTCTCACCGTCGTGGAGAGAATTTTTGAAAATGGCTTTTTATATTTTAGTGGGGCTTGTAATTCTTCTGCTCGTTTTGCCATGCCTTGTCCAATGCGTGCGGCGGGCCATGAACAGGGCTGCCAGAGAGGAGATTTTGGTGCAACAAGAAAGGGGAGAAGTCTGAGTCCAGAGCATCCCTCTGGCTGCCCTGGATAACTCGAGCCCCTGGCAAAGAGCCCAGGAACCTTGGCAGCAAATGAAAAACACCCGTGGATTTGATTTTAGCCCATGGGAGAGGCTGCTGACCTTGTATGAGGATTTACAAGCAAAAAGGGTTTGAATAGTGTAATAGAGAAATTGACACAGGGTGGAAAAGTAGAATTTTGGGATTTTTTAGAAAGAAATTCAGGGGTACAAGATGGAGGAATCTGGGCATGCCCTAGCTTCTTCTTCCTTCTTCTTGTCCTCCATGTCTCGGTGTGATGGTGACACTTTTCTATTGGTTTAGGACAGGGACACCTTGTCCAACGTAGATTTTAGGTATTGGTACGGGAATTGTAAGCATGGTACACGTAATTTTGGGTATATAATGTGGGAGCTGCCTGGGGCAGGTAGGAGACTGCCATGGCTGCTGTGCTAGCTGGACCTCGGCAGGTCAGAGAGAAACTATTGTAGATAAGAAAAAAATAAACAACCTTGAAAACTCGGCTTCACACATTCCAGACCTCTTCTTCAGCGGCCAGGCCAGGGAAAAAAGGACTTTCACACTGCTGGGGTCTTGCCAAGTGACCCTGACATCCCTGGCTGGCAGATGTGGGGCATCATCCTAGAACCATTTTTTTTTTTTTTTTGTCCAGCTGTAAGTAAACTCATGAACACCACTGTGTTCTTTGGATGTCCCAGGGTACACCAAGGGTTTTCATTCTCCTAATTATGACTTGTTGGGAAATACTTTCATTTTCGCATAGATCCTGGAGTTAAAGAGAAAAGATTCAGTGAAGCATTAATTAATGTTAATAAAATTCTTACATTGAGGCTATCTGAATTAACTTTTACTCTCTTAATTTTTTTTTTTTTCTTAAAATTAAAATAACATGTCTGCATGTCTTTTTTAAACTATTCATAGATTCACAGAATCACAAAAACATAGAATCCCAGACTGGTCTGGGTTAGAAGGGGCTGTCAAATGTCATCTAGTCCAACCTGCTGCCATAAGCAGGGACATCTTCCACTAGACCAGGTTGCTCAGAGCCCTATTCTCTCCTTCAGTAGATTCCTTTATTAGTTTTGTAGAGCATCCCCTTCTCCTACCTTGGGGGGAGGGGTTGGGGGTAGAGGGGAGTTCAAATGCAGCTCTGCATTCACCTTATCTTCTTCCCCTCCACTCTGCTCCCTACTAGAGCTGGGCATGATCCCATGTAGGACCAAAGAATTGCCTCAGGAATAACAATCCCAGCTTGCCCCAGTTAAAAAAAATTACTTACCACACCACTGATTTGGAATTTCAAAAGTTCTGGGTAGGAAAATGCAACTTTATTTTCATGGAGATAAAACACTTGGTGTCACTCTTCAGCTACCCAGTTTCCCCTCTCTTAAGCTTTACCGAGTGTGCACAATCAGTTCTTAATAAAATAGTGAAATAAGGGCAGATTGGTAAATGGATGTGCTATGAATATGGTGAGTGACATGGCTGGATCTAATCTGTATTTGGATGCCATAAAAATGCATTTCCCTGCAGCATGCGAATTTTATACAAATCACCCACAGAGCTCAAATTGCAAGAACAAGAACTGAGAGAGGTACAGGGTCAGGGGAACAATGACACCCTCCTTTCCCCGTTGTCTCTGTGTTTTTCCTGTGCACCTGTCGAAGACCACCTGAGGTTGCAGGATGGTTCCGTGTGGTGGAAAAACTTCTCCTCCAACCTTTGCTTCCAAAGAAAGGCTCAGCAGTCTCTGTTGTCTGGTCTCAAGGCAGTTTATTGCAAGTTATCTATAAGATTTTCTTCTGGGGCTGCTGTGGTTTGCTCACAGCTCAGGCAGAGGCACACACACACCCTGACATCCTCTCTGACTCCCGACTGCTTCTTCTCTCCCCCTCTGCCCAGGGCTGCTGCTGTCTTATATATGGTACATTACGTGTTATATGGGTACAGTTTGTCCCCAATGCCTATTACCTATATTAAATGGTGCTTTTCTATCTTTTATATGGTACATTACGTGTTACATGGGTACAGTTTTTCCCCAATGCCTATTACCTATATTAAATGGTGCTTTTCTATCTTTTATATGGTACATTATGTGATAAATGTTTATAGTGTTCCCCCAATACCTACTACCTATATTAAATGGTGCTTTTTTACTCTAAACCAATCTGTGAGTGCCAACATCACCAAGAACATGGAGGTAAGGAAGAAGAAAGAGGGAGGACAGGGCAGGCCCAAATCCCTCCATCTTAAAACTTCTGACCCCCATGTACAAAACCAAAACCAAAACCCCCCTGTACAGCACTCAAAAATTCTTCCCTCTACTTTGTAACTACTTCTACTATAATATCTAAACTTTTGTGAGTTCTTGTTCTCCCTGCAAGGTTGGTAAATCATTCCATGGTTCAAACCCAAAATCACAGCTGTTTCCAGCTGCCTGCCAGGGTCTCAAATGCTTCTGACCTGGGCCTGGAACGTCCAAAAATGTCTGAGGGACATTTTGAGTTCCAACATGCACCAAGCACGTGGCATCCTGTTACAAAGGGGTGAAGAACTTGGTGTGATTCCCAAACACAGTCAGTCTGGACACATTTCTAAGAGGTGTGACAAGCTATATGGCTGCTCTTTGCACCTACGAGGGGAAATGAGTTTAAAATGAAAATAAACTGCACCAAAGGTGAATTAATATATCTTCTCCAAACTTTCACCTTCTGTGCCCCTCTGCTATTTCATCCTGGCATTGTAGGGAAAGGCATGTCCATGCTGCTGCAGTTGTTTTTATGCTGCCCTGTATTTGCCATAAGAACTGGTCCTAGAAAAACATTTTGCTCTTGATTTTGTACAGCTCACCCAGTTTCAGCACAGTTTATAGAGAGGAAAGGATCACATGGAGGCCTCCCTAGTCTCTCTAAGCTGGAAAAAAAATTCCATTATAGTCCTATTATTTTCATGCCTAAATATTTTAGCTGAACTAAATTTTAACCAATCACAAGAAAATCTTCAGCATTAAAAAGACCAGCAACTGCCAATGGAACAATTAACTGCTGCTCACTTCTGTAACATCAAACACAAGGTACAAATCTGACTAAAGTGTTTTCTGTTCTATATGTCACTGCACACATATATATGCACATATACATTCATATGTGTATATAGAAATAGATGTGTATGCATACACTTAATCAGCACCCATTCACCACGAGAGGGCAGGCAAAGAATAGGAAAAATCAGTTGTCCTGTGTGTTGCCTGTAAATGCTAATTTAGAGCAAATCATTCAGTGGCCAGAAAATATCACCACTGTTTTCTTTAATCATTTCCAAAGACTTTCTTATTATAGAATTATAGAATAGTTTGGTTTGAAAGGCACCAAAGTCATTTAGTTCATTCCCCCTGAAATGAGCAGGGACATCTTCAGTTAGGCCAGGTTGCTCAGAGCCCTGTCCAGCCTGGCCTTGAACGCTCCCAGGGATGTGACAAACACATCTGGGCAACCTGTGCCAGGGCCTCACCACCTTCATCAAAAATGTTTTCTTAATACCTAAACGAAATCATCCATCTTTTAACTTAAAACCATTACCCCTTATTTTAGTGCAACAGGCCCTTCTAAAAAAAAAAATTATCCTGAATCTCAACCCTTACAACAACCTCACAGGGCACAGTTTGATAGCTATTTTTTGTTCTGTTTAATTGTTTAGAAAATCTCTGCATTTTTTCAAGGATGAAATGGTCTGAACTAAGAGTAGTTCATCATGGATTAACCCCAAGAAATGTCACAAGTGAAAGGTGAGAAACTTCCTCAGTGCTGTGGCTAAAACCTCTTTCATGGTTGGCATGAGTGTTAGTGTGTGTGTGTGTGGAGAAAGGTCAGTAGGAGCTGTATGTCTACTTTTTTTCATTTGGCATAAGTGGATATTCACTTATAAATGGTAAAAGGACTGGTCCCTTATCAAGAATGTCATGCCTGAGAGCTGAAATGACTGAGATCCAAACCTAGCATGGATAGGTTTGTCCATTCTCATAGTGCTGAGTCCTGGGAACAGCTGATTTCATCCATTAAGTTGTGAAGTGTGCTATCATCAAGAGGGACCTTTTGAAAATGTCCAGTGGGAAAAGAAGAGCTTCTCTTATTTTCACACATGATATGGAGAGAATAAAAATACAGTAATCTTGATGCCAGAGAGCAAATCCAAAGAAGCACACCCCTTCATCCAGGAGATGCTTATAATATGGCATAGACAGATGTCTCAGACTGGCCATGAGATCTGTAAGGATCAGTGTCTAAAACACAGTGCCTTTGACCTGAGGAGGAAAAGGGGTGTACAATCTAATCCCAAAAGCTGCATCCCAATTTCTTAACAAAGACCTTTACATTTTTATATGAGGACATGCTTTGTAGGGGTACTGAGGCTCTTCATGGAGGAATCCCATTCAGGGCTTTGCTCAGTGGGATGATGGATGTCAGACCTTCAAAGCAATAACAGAATGGCAGAATCACTTATGACATTTGTAACACACCCAGAGATACCATCATCAACTGGCTTCTCTCAAGGAAACCTGGAAATTATCTTAAGGAATTGATAGATCCAACCTGGGCTGAAAATGTGGGATTTACACCAGCAAGAGGTACATCCATAACCAGAAAAAAAAAAAAATCCCCTAAATTCTCTGTTTCCTGACTACAAGAGGGACTAATTTCCCTTAATTTTGAATCTATGTCTGTGTTAGTCATTCACCACTCCCTTGTTCACAGGAGAAAGTTGGAGCTCCTTGTGGGCTACTCATCTGCTGGAGAATGAGATGAATCACAAGCAAGAAGAGCTTCTATTTCCCTCCATGAGCTGTGGAGGTTATCAGAATCAGTGTCCTTTGATAGATACTAACCTTGTATGTCTGTATTTGATCAGAGATATCACATATTTTTTGCCTATGACATCATTCTGGCATTACAGTTTTCTATGAGAAAAAGGAGACCAGGAGTTTACTCAGCTCTTCAAACTTGCTGTCATTACTTCTTCCTGTCAGGGAGCTGGTGATACATATTTGAGCATAATTATCTATGCTTCTGTGTTGCCCATATTTCATCATGTGCACTAAACTTCCTAGTGGGAAAGTAGCCTGTACCTTGGCTCTGAAGTTTTTGCTGAGTGCATTCCACCACTGAAATCAAGATGTTCATCAGGAAATTAGGTTTCAATATCTGGAAAAATCAAATAGATGAGCAGGATTGTTTCCTTCAGTTTGTTGCCCTATGTCTGCCTTCCCAGACCATTTGTTAAAAACGGGACCACACTCCTGGTACTAAAAGTGATTTCAGCATTTATTATAATAAAAAGAAAGGCCAAAAGCAAGGGGGCCCGTGGGCTGAGCAGGAGCGTTCCTGTCGAGGATGCTGCAGTGCCGGTGCTTTGTATTTTTCAAATCCTGTACTGCATTAGTGCATAACTCTAAACTCCATATAAAATGTTAGCTGTCTTCACAGTTTGGTCAGATAAAACAATCCTCCTAGGCCTGAAATTCAAGGACAGCCTACAGCCTCAGGCCCTGAAAAGTATGAACAAAATTGAGTTAGGGAGGGAAGCAAACTTGGGGTATATGACTTGTTTACCTGAAGATGTAATTGGGGGATTAACCACTGATATATAAATGGACCAAACTTAAAATTGTCTGAAAAACTCGTGATGGTCACCTATCTTGGGTGTAGCCTCTCTCAGAGGCTTTCAAGGTGTACGTATTTACACCTGAAGATGTGCCTTTAATAAATACCTACTTTTCATTCCCTTAATCTTGTCCAGCCTCTGTTCTAGGTAGTTGTCGGGGTTGGGTTTTTTCTAT